GAGTGGAAACCATTCGCTGCCCTCTGCTGCCCTCTGCTGCCCTCAGCCGGGAAGCGCCCTCACGGCCACGAAATGAAAAAGGATCCTTGCGGTGGCGAAGCCTTTGGGGCCGTCCATAAATGACGTCACGCGATTTTGGACGATTTTTGACCCCCCCCCCCCCTCGTCACACGGCGTCACAAAAAGTCAGACCCCCCCCCCCCCCAAAATTTGTTTTAAACATGCTTAAAATCGCTTTAAACTAATGTCATTGTAGTGCGTATTTAATGTGGCGCTGTACTCGGATGTTGTAGGAGAACACATTTAAATTTCGATTTAGAGCTTTCGTGACTGCAGGGATTCATCTTCTTGGTTCTTTCGTTAAAGTCACGTAGAAGGGAAATAATAAAATCAAATTTTATTTTATTATTTTATTATTTCCATTCTACGTGACTTTACCGAAAGAACCAAGAAGATGAGAAAATAATTTATTAAAAACAATAAAAAGTCTATTTATTAAATAGAACGTGTTGTCTATATGTATTTAAAGTTGTGCATTTTGATGTGACGTCATATTTCTCAAACCCCACCCCCCCCCCCATCGTCACAAATGTCTGACCCCCCCCCCCACCCCCCCCCCAGGTGCGTGACGTCATTTATGGACGGCCCCATAGGAGACTCGTTGGGGCGAGTGTTGTTGTGGGTTGGCGAGCTAAACACACAGCCAACCAAATTACTCTTTTGAGACTAAGTCGACCTAGGGGAGACACCAGGACCGGTTCAGATAATCGTCACTGCTCCACCCTCAGACGACTACTGCCATCATCATCATCACGGTGACGTTGCCACGACGTTCGTGCCAGGCTAGGTGCACTTTTTTTTTAGGTCACGCAAAGTGTCGAAGGCAGGTCACGGGACAGACCCAGCAGGTGACACGGGTTGTCCTGCTGTGCCAGGCTAGGTGCAGGTCACGGGACAGACCCATGTGCCATGGGTTGACTGCTGTGCCAGGCTAGGTGCAGGTCACGGGACAGACCCAGCAGGTGACACGGGTTGTCCTGCTGTGCCAGGCTAGGTGCAGGTCACGGGACAGACCCATGTGCCATGGGTTGACTGCTGTGCCAGGCTAGGTGCAGGTCACGGGACAGACCCAGCAGGTGACACGGGTTGTCCTGCTGTGCCAGGCTAGGTGCAGGTCACGGGACAGACCCATGTGCCATGGGTTGACTGCTGTGCCAGGCTAGGTGCAGGTCACGGGACAGACCCAGCAGGTGACACGGGTTGTCCTGCTGTGCCAGGCTAGGTGCAGGTCACGGGACAGACCCATGTGCCATGGGTTGACTGCTGTGCCAGGCTAGGTGCAGGTCACGGGACAGACCCAGCAGGTGACACGGGTTGTCCTGCTGTGCCAGGCTAGGTGCAGGTCACGGGACAGACCCAGGTGCCATGGGTTGACTGCTGTGCCAGGCTAGGTGCAGGTCACGGGACAGACCCAGCAGGTGACACGGGTTGTCCTGCTGTGCCAGGCTAGGTGCAGGTCACGGGACAGACCCAGGTGCCATGGGTTGACTGCTGTGCCAGGCTAGGTGCAGGTCACGGGACAGACCCAGGTGCCATGGGTTGACTGCTGTGCCAGGCTAGGTGCAGGTCACGGGACAGACCCAGGTGCCATGGGTTGACTGCTGTGCCAGGCTAGGTGCAGGTCACGGGACAGACCCATGTGCCATGGGTTGTACTGCTGTGCCAGGCTAGGTGCAGGTCACGGGACAGACCCATGTGCCATGGGTTGTCCTGCTGTGCCAGGCTAGGTGCACGTCACGGGACAGACCCATGTGCCATGGGTTGTACTGCTGTGCCAGGCTAGGTGCAGGTCACGGGACAGACCCATGTGCCATGGGTTGTCCTGCTGTGCCAGGCTAGGTGCACGTCACGGGACAGACCCATGTGCCATGGGTTGTACTGCTGTGCCAGGCTAGGTGCAGGTCACGGGACAGACCCAGCAGGTGCCATGGGTTGTACTGCTGTGCCAGCCTAGGTGCAGGTCACGGGACAGACCCAGGTGCCATGGGTTGACTGCTGTGCCAGGCTAGGTGCAGGAGGTCACGGGACAGACCCAGCAGGTGACATGGGTTGTACTGCTGCTGTGCCAGGCTAGGTGCAGGAGGTCACGGGACAGACCCAGCTGGTGCCATGGGTTGACTGCTGTGCCAGGCTAGGTGCAGGAGGTCACGGGACAGACCCAGCAGGTGCCATGGGTTGTACTGCTGTGCCAGGCTAGGTGCAGGAGGTCACGGGACAGACCCAGCAGGTGTCATGGGTTGTACTGCTGCTGTGCCAGGCTAGGTGCAGGAGGTTACGGGACAGACCCAGCAGGTGCCATGGGTTGACTGCTGTGCCAGGCTAGGTGCAGGAGGTCACGGGACAGACCCAGCAGGTGCCATGGGTCGACTGCTGTGCCAGGCTAGGTGCAGGAGGTCACGGGACAGACTCAGGTGCCATGAGTTGTACTGCTGTGCCAGGCTAGGTGCACCAGCTGTGCCCTCTGTTGTGCCAACGAGTTTCATCCGCCGGGCTCACAATCCTGGCCCATGGTAGTGGTTGTTGTTGTCCAGAGTGGTAGTTGTTGTTGTACAGAGTGGTGGTGGTTGTTGTTGTACACAGTGGTGGTGGTTGTTGTTGTTGTTGTCCAGAGTGGTGGTGGTTGTTGTTGTAGAGTGCTGGTGGTTGTTGTTGTACAGAGTGGTGGTTGTAGAGTGGTGGTGGTGGTTGTACAGAGTGGTGGTGGTGGTTGTAGAGTGGTGGTGGCGGTTGTAGAGTGGTGGTGGTTGTTGTTGTACAGAGTGGTGGTTGTAGAGTGGTGGTGGTGGTTGTTGTTGTACAGAGTGGTAGTTGTTGTACAGAGTGGTGGTGGTGGTGGTAGAGTGGTGGTGGCGGTTGTAGAGTGGTGGTGGTTGTTGTTGTACAGTGTGGTTGTTGTTGTACAGAGTGGTGGTGGTTGTTCACACTGTGTACACTGTATTCAACCACCACCACACTGTTCAACAACAACAACCTCCATTTGCCACTAAGTGGCGGTGACGTCACCACGACGCTTGTGCCAGGCCAAGTGCACCTTGAGGCTATCACGTGAAGTGTCGAACGCCCGCTGGCAGGTCACGGGGCAGACCCAGCAGGTGCCACGGGTCGACTGACTGAGATGACCGAGATGATTGGCTGATGTACCACCTGTGCCCCCTACTGTGCCAACTTGCTGTGCTTTAGCCACCCGGCGCTCCGCTCGTTGTTGTGAGCGTCGCTCCTCCGCCCTCCGTTGTTGTTGGAGGGCGACTGCCTCCAACTGCCCAGTAGCGTCCTTCACGAGCCTCCTCCACAGATGCTGATCTTGACACCGCTGGTAACCAGCCATCGGCAAATCCACTCAGCTCCATGTCCCTTTGAACCACATCACTCCATCTCTTCTCTGGTCCGTGCCGCGCCCGTTTAGCCTCCTCGATCCGGCCGAACAAAAGCTGTTTAGGCATGCGGTGGCTGGGCATGCGGGCTACATGACCCAGCCAACGCAGCCTTGCCTGCCGCAGGAGCTCACCGATGGGACTTGTTATACAAATCTGTCAAGGATTTGTAAACTCCTCACGCAATCCAGCCTGCTGGTAAAAACACAGGATGGATCGTAGACAGGCCAGCCTAAATGTTTCTAACCGGGAAAGATGGTCCATTAAGGGGGTCCACGTTTCGCAAGCGTAGAGAACGGAGGAACCTGAAGCTTCGTGTGGAGCGACAGACCAGGTAGCTTAAGCACAGCGTTACGCAAGCGATGAAAAGATAATGCCACTCGACTGATTTGGAGCGAGATTTCCAACCGGAGCCGGTCATGAGCACACTGCCCGGGTATGGGAAACTCTCCACTCTCTCCACTACTGCCCCATTACCACATTGTGCACCACCACCACCACCACCCCCACACAACCACCACCACACTGTGCACCACCACCACCACCACACTGTGCACCACCACCACCACACTGTGCACCACCACCACCCCCACACAACCACCACCACCACCACCACCCCCACACAACCACCACCACACTGTGCACCACCACCACCACCACACTGTGCACCACCACCACCACCACACTGTGCACCACCACCACCACCACACTGTGCACCACCACCACCACCCCCACACAACCACCACCACCACACTGTGCACAACCACCACCACCACACTGTGCACCACCACCCCCACCACCGCACTGTGCCCCACCACCACCACACTGTGCACCACCACCACCACCACCGCACTGTGCACCACCACACTGTGCACCACCACACTGTGCACCACCACCACCACCACACTGTGCACCACCACACTGTGCACCACCACCACCACACTGTGCACCACCACACTGTGCACCACCACCACCACCACACTGTGCACCACCCCCACACAACCACCACCACCACCACACTGTGCACCACACTGTGCACCACCACCACCTGCACCACCACCACACTGTGCACCACCACCACCACCACACTGTGCACCACCACCACCACCACACTGTGCACCACCACCACCACACTGTGCACCACCACCACCTACCACCCAACCACCACACTGTGCACCACCACCACCACACTGTGCACCACCACCACCACCACCACACTGTGCACCACCACCACCACACTGTGCACCACCACCACCACCACACTGTGCACCACCACCCCCACCACCACACTGTGCACCACCACCACCACCACACTGTGCACCACCACCACCACCACACTGTGCACCACCACCACCACCACACTGTGCACCACCACCACCACACTGTGCACCACCACCACCACCACACTGTGCACCACCACCACCACACTGTGCACCACCACCACCACCACACTGTGCACCACCACCACCACACTGTGCACCACCACCACCACCACACTGTGCACCACCACCACCACACTGAGTGTGTTGACTACAGAGCGAGCGAGTGAGCGGCGAGGCGGAGCGGTGGTGGAGTCGTCGTCGTCGTGAGGAGCTCTTTAATTGGCAACCGCGTGGCGCAGCAGCAGCAGCCACCGCCGCCACCCCGACGAACCGCGACGTTCGCAACGACGACATTCGCGACGACGATCGCGACGTTTGCGACGTTCACAACGACGATCGCAACGACGATCGCAACGACGATCGCGACGACGTTCACGACATTCGCGACGTTCGCGACGTTCGCGACGACGTTCACAACGACGATCGCGACGACGATCGCAACGACGTTCACGACATTCGCGACGTTCGCGACGACGTTCACGACATTCGCGACGTTCGCGACGACGTTCGCGACATTCGCGACGACGTTCACGACATTCGCGACGACGTTCACGACATTCGCGACATTCGCGACGACGTTCGCGACTTTCGCGACGACGTTCACGACATTCGCGACATTCGCGACGACGTTCGCGACATTCGCGACGACGTTCACGACATTCGCGGCGACATTCGCGACATTCGCGACGACGTTCACGACATTCACGACATTCGCGACATTCGCGACGACGTTCGCGACTTTCGCGACGACGTTCACGACGTTCGCGACGACGTTCACGACATTCGCGACGTTCGCGACTTTCGCGACGACGTTCGCGACATTCGCGACGTTCGCGACGACGTTCACGACATTCGCGACGTTCGCGACAACGTTCGCGACATTCGCGACGTTCGCGACGACGTTCACGACATTCGCGACGACGATCGCAACGACGTTCACGACATTTGCGACGTTCGCGACGACGTTCACGACATTCGCGACGACGATCGCAACGACGTTCACGACATTTGCGACGTTCGCGACGACGTTCGCGACATTCGCGACGACGTTCACGACATTCGCGACATTCGCGACGACGTTCACGACATTCGCGACGTTCGCGACTTTCGCGATGTTCAGAACGACGATCGCGACGACGAGAATGACGGAGGGGTCCGTTACAAAACAAGTCCCGAGCCTCACTCCCCCCAACCCCTCCCCCCTCCCCCCCTACAGCCCCCCCCCTCGCCAGCCCCCCCCCCAAAACAGAAAAACTACACGCCGTGTCTGTGCGCGTGTGTCTGTGTGTGTCTGTGTGTGTGTCTGTCTGTGGGTGTCTGTGTGTGGGTGTCTGTGTGTGTGTCTGTCTGTCTCTGTCTGTGTGTGGGTGTCTGTGTGTGTCTGTATCTGCGTGTGTGTGTCTCTGTCTATGTCTGTGTGTCTGTCTGTGTCTCTGTCTGTGTGTCTGTATCTGCGTGTGTGTCTCTGTCTGTGTGTCTCTGTCTGTGTGTCTGTCTGTGTGTCTGTCTGTGTGTCTGTGTGTCTGTATCTGCGTGTGTGTGTCTCTGTCTGTGTGTGTGTCTCTGTCTGTGTGTGTCTGTGTGTGTCTGTATCTGCGTGTGTGTGTCTCTGTCTGTGTGTGTGTCTCTGTCTGTGGGTGTGTGTCTGCCTGGCCTGGCACAAGCGTCGTGGTGACGTCACCGCCACTTAGTGGCGAATGGCGGTATTGGTTTTTGTCTGTGTGTGGGTGTCTGTGTGTGTGTTTGTCTGTCTCTATGTGCGTGTCGGAGTGTCTGTGCGAGTGTCTGTGTGAGTGTGTTTGTTTGTGTCTATGTGCGTGTCTGTGTGGGTCTGTGTGGGTGTCTGTGTGTGTCAGTGTCTGTGTGCGTGTCTGTGTGGGTGTCTGTGTGGGTGTCTGTGTGTGTCAGTGTCTGTGTGCGTGTCTGTGTGTGTGCGTGTCTGTGTCTCAGTGTCCGATTTCTGCTCGCGACCAACATTGCCAAATATTTAAACTGGTGCCGGCCTTCTCCTAGGTCAACTCGGCCTCAAACGAGCACCTGATGCTGTTGTACCAACTGGGGAGACAAAGGCGGCCGGGCGTGGTGCTGGTAGCAACCCACCCCCTCGTGTGCCACAGTGCCGGTAGCCTTCACAGGTGCTGCTACTCGCTAACAGCACTTGCCCCAACAGTCTGTTAGAGGCTACACGGGGGAACTTTGTCTGTGTCTACCTTCATAGGTGCTGCTCGCTACTAACAGCACTTGCCCCAACAGTCTGTTAGAGGCTACACGGGGGATCTTTGTCTGTGTGTCTACCTTCATAGGTGCTGCTCGCTACTAACAGCACTTGCCCCTACAGTCTGTTAGAGGCTACACGGGGGACCTTTGTCTGTGTCTGCCTTCACAGGCGCTGCTGCTACTCACTACTAACAGCACTTGCCCTACAGTCTGCTAGAGGCTACACGGGGGAGCTTTGTCTTTGTTGCGACTCCGTGCTTTGATGTGAATGCATTTCGGTTGTCATTTGCGTGAGTCCACGTGTGTTCATGTGTGTCCACGTGTGTTCATGTGTACGTGTTCATGTGTGTCCACGTGTGTTCATGTGTGTCCACGTGTGTTCATGTGTGTCCACGTGTGTTCATGTGTACGTGTTCATGTGTGTCCACGTGTGTTCATGTGTGTCCACGTGTGTTCATGTGTGTTCATGTGTGTCCACGTGTGTTCATGTGTATCCACGTGTGTTCATGTGTGTCCACGTGTGTTCGTGTGTCCACGTGTGTTCATGTGTGTCCACGTGTGTTCATGTGTGTCCACGTGTGTTCATGTGTACGTGTGTTCATGTGTACGTGTTCATGTGTACGTGTGTTCATGTGTACGTGTGTTCATGTGTACGTGTGTTCATGTGTCCACGTGTGTTCATGTGTACGTGTGTTCATGTGTCCACGTGTGTTCATGTGTCCACGTGTGTCCACGTGTGTTCATGTGTGTCCACGTGTGTTCATGTGTACGTGTTCATGTGTGTCCACGTGTTCATATGTGTTCATGTGTGTTCATGTGTGTCCACGTGTTCATGTGTGTTCATGTGTGTCCACGTGTGTCCACGTGTGTTCGTGTGTCCACGTGTGTTCATGTGTCCACGTGTGTTCGTGTGTACGTTTGTTCATGTGTACGTTTGTTCATGTGTACGTGCGCCTCCCCTCGAGGCACCAGATTCACGCGGCAAACGCCGAATTTCACCGCACTCCACTGGGTTCTCCTCCCGGACCACCGTCACAAAATTCCCCCCCTGCCCCCCTCGCCCACCCTCCCCTCAGCACCCATAATCGATTGACCCACAAGTAACTCACCCTACGCGCCGGGCGTGATGGTGGTGATGGTGGTGGTGATGGTGGCTGTGGTGGTGGTAGTGATGATGGTGGCTGTGGTGTTGGTGGTGATGATGGTGTTGGTGATGATGGTGGCTGTGGTGTTGGTGGTGATGATGGTGGTGGTAGTGATGGTGGTAGTGATGGTGGTGATGATGGTGGTGGTAGTGATGATGGTGTTGGTGGTGGTGATGGTGGTGGCTGTGGTGGTGGTAGTGATGATGGTGTTGATGGTGGTGGTAATGGTGGTGGCTATAAATATGGTGGTGGTGATGGTAGTGGTGATGGTGGTGGTGATGGTAGTGGTTGTGGTGGTGGTTATAATGGTGGTGATGATGGTGGCTGTGGTGTTGGTGGTGATGATGGTGGTGGTAGTGATGGTGGTAGTGATGGTGGTGATGATGGTGGTGGTAGTGATGATGGTGTTGGTGGTGGTGATGGTGGTGGCTGTGGTGGTGGTAGTGATGATGGTGTTGATGGTGGTGGTAATGGTGGTGGCTATAAATATGGTGGTGGTGATGGTAGTGGTGATGGTGGTGGTGATGGTAGTGGTTGTGGTGGTGGTTATAATGGTGGTGATGGTGGTTATGATGGTGGTGGTGATTGTGGTGATGATGGTGGTGGTAGTGGTTATGGTGGTGGTGATGGTGGTGATGATGATGGTGATGATGATGTTGTTTATGATGATGTTGGTGGTGGTGAGTTTGACACGGAAGAAGAATGGGAGCTCTTGTAGGAAAGAGACAAAGGAGTGTCTGGAACCGGGTTCCATTAACAGCAACATGGGGACACAGAGAGGATGGGAGGCCGGGGTGAACCTAGCCTGGTACGGGGCCGTAGGTGGACACAGGTGTGTCTGAACGTATCTCCGTATGTATCCCTGCGTGTGTCTCTCCGTGTGTCCCTCTGCGTGTCTCTGCGTGTGTCTCTCCGCGTGTTTCTCGCTCCGTGTGTCTCTCCGTATCTCCCTCTCTGCGTGTCTCTCACTCTGTGTCTCTCCGTGTGTCCCTCTGCGTGTCTCTGCGTGTGTCTCTCTCTCCGCGTGTCTCTCGCTCCGTGTGTCTCTCCGTATCTCCCTCTCTGCGTGTCTCTGCGTGTCTCTCACTCTGTGTCTCTCCGCGTGTCTCCGTGTCTCCCTCCATGTGTCTCTCCGCGTGTCTCCGTGTCTCTCTCTCTGCGTGTCTTTCTCTGCGTGTCTCTCTCCACGTGTCTCTCTGTGCCTCTCTCCGCGTGTCTCTCTCTCTCTCTCCGTGTGTCTCTCTCCGCGTCTCTCTCTCTGTGTGTCTCTCCGTGTGTCTTCACGTGTCTCTCTGTGTGTCTCTCTCTCCGCGTGTCTCTGTGTGTCTCTCTCTGTGTGTCTCTCCTCGTATCTCAGTGTCTCTGTGTCTCTCCGTGTGTCTCTCCGCGTGTCTCCGTGTGTTCCTCTCTCTGTGTCTCTGTGTGTCTCTGTGTGTTCCTCTCTCTGTCTCTGTGTGTCTCTGTGTGTCTCTGTGTGTTCCTCTCTCTGTCTCTGTGTGTCTCTGTATGTTCCTCTCTCTCTCTCTGTGTCTCTCTGTGTCTCTCTGCGTCTCCCCGCGTGTCTCTCTCTCTCCGTGTGTGTCTCTCCGCGTGTCTCCGTGTCTCTCTCCCCGTGCGCGTGCCCCCCCGTCCCCTCCCTCAGGGCGTCTTGAGGCTGAAGGAGAGCCGTGGTCGCGTGTTCCCCTTGCCCAGGATCAGCTTCTGCTCCTCTGTGTGTCTCTCTGTGTCTCTCCGTGTGTCTCCGCGTGTCTCCATGTGTTCCTCTCTCTGTGTGTCTCTGTGTCTCCCTCTCTGTGTGTCTCCCCGCGTGTCTCTCCGTGTCTCCCTGCGTGTCTCTCTCTCTCCGTGTGTGTCTCCGTGTCTCTCTGTGTGTGTCTCTCCGCGTGTCTCCGTGTGTTCCTCTCTCTGTGTGTCTCTCTGTGTTTCTCTGCGTGTCTCTCTCTCTGTGTGTCTCTCTCTCTCTGTGTCTCTCCGCGTGTCTCCGCGTATCTCCGTGTGTTCCTCTCTCCGTGTCTCTCTGTGTCTCCCCGCGTGTCTCTGTGTCTCTCTGTGTGTCTCTGTATCTCTCTGTGTCTCTCCGCATCTCCCCGCGTGTCTCTCTCCCCGCGCGCGTGCGTGCCCCCCCCCCGTCCCCTCCCTCCCTCAGGGCGTCTTGAGGCTGAAGGAGAGCCGTGGTCGCGTGTTCCCCTTGCCCAGGATCAGCTTCTGCTCCTCTGTGTGTCTCTGTATGTCTCTCTCTCTCTCCGTGTCTCTCTCTCCGTGTCTCTCTCTCTCTGTGTCTCTCTCTGTGTGTCTCTGTGTGTCTCTGTGTGTCTCTCAGCGTGTCTCTCTCTCCGTGTGTCTCCCTCTCTCTGTGTCTCTCCGCGTGTCTCCGCGTATCTCCGTGTGTTCCTCTCTCCGTGTCACTCTGTGTGTCTCCCCGCGTGTCTCTCTCCGTGTGTGTCTCTCCGCGTGTCTCTGTGTGTGTCTTTCCGCGTGTCTCCGTGTCTCTCTCCCCGCGCGCGCGTACACCCCCCCGTCCCCTCTCTCCCTCAGGGCGTCTTGAGGCTGAAGGAGAGCCGTGGTCGCGTGTTCCCCTTGCCCAGGATCAGCTTCTGCTCCTCCTTCTTCTGCCGCTCCTTCTCCTTCTCCAGCTTGACGCGCTCCTCGTGGATCTTGCGCTGCTCCTCCACGATGCGCAGCTGCTCCTCCGCCTTCGCTCAAGACGCACAGAGGTGCCGCGCCCATCAACACCAACACCACCAGCACCACCGCGCCCACCACCACCAGCACCAGCACCACCACCACCACCACGCCCACCACCACCAGCACCACCGCGCCAACCAGCAACACCACCAACACCAGCACCACCGCGTCCACCAACACCACCAACACCACGCCAAACACTACCACCACCACCACCACGCCAACCACCACCACCACCACCAGCCCATTACCACCACCACCACCACCACACCCACCACCACCGCGCCCACCACCAACAACACCACCACCACCACCGCGCCCACCAGCACCAGCACCACCACCAGCACCACCACCACCGCCATCACCACCACCACGCCCATCACCACCACCACCACCACCACCACCACCCACGTAGCGACTGCTAGTGGAGTGTCGGGGCAAGCGGCGTTAGCGGCAAGGGGCAGCAGCTGGACACGGCCCCCCCCTTCTACCCCCCCCCGCTGCCCCCCCCCGCTGCCCCCCCCCCCTACTACCCCCCCCCTACTACCCCCCCCCCCTACTACCCCCGCCGCTACGGAGGCCAGGCACTGCGACACACACGGGGGTGGTGTGGGGTGGTGTGGGGTGGGGTGGTGTAGTGGGGTGGTGTGGGGTGGTGTAGTGGGGTGGTGTGGTGGGTGTGGTGTAGTGTGTGGGGTGGTGTGTGTGGGGGTGGTGTAGTGTGGGGTGGTGTGTGTGGGGTGGTGTAGTGTGGGAGTGGTGTGGTGGGTGTGGGGTGGTGTGGGGTGGTGTGGGGTGGTGTAGTGTGGGTGTGATGGGGTGGTGTGGGTGGGGTGGTGTAGTGTGGGGTGGTGTGGGGTGGTGTGGGGTGGTGTGGGGTGGTGTAGTGTGGGTGTGATGGGGTGGTGTGGGTGGGGTGGTGTAGTGTGGGGTGGTGTGGGGTGGTGTGGGGTGGTGTGGTGTGGGTGTGGGTCTGCCCCGTGACCTTCTGCCAGCGGGCGTTCGACACTTCACGTGGCCTCAAGGTGCACTTGGCCTGGCACAAGCATCGTGGTGACGTCACCGCCACTTAGTGGCGAATGGCGGTTGTTGTTGTTGTTGTTGTTGTGTGAATGGGTGTGTGAGTGTGTGTGTGAGTGTGTGTGTGTGAGTGTGTGTGTGAGTGTGTGTGTGAGTGTGTGTGTGAGTGTGTGTGTGAGTGTGTGTGTGAGTGGGTGGCTAAAGCACAGCAAGTTGGCACAGTAGGGGGCACAGGTGGTGCATCAGCCAGTCATCTCGGTCATCTCAGTCAGTCGACCCGTGGCACCTGCTGGGTCTGCCCCGTGACCTCCTGCCAGCGGGCGTTCGACACTTCACGTGATAGCCTCAAGGTGCACTTGGCCTGGCACAAGCGTCGTGGTGACGTCACCGCCACTTAGTGGCGAATGGCGGTTGTTGTTGTTGTGTGTGAGTGTGTGTAGTAGCGCTACGCTGCGCTACAAACCAGCCAGAGACCCGAGTTCGATTCCCGCTCATGGCACCACCAGTGACGATTATCTGAACCGGTCATGGTGCCTCCCCCCCCTAGGTCGACTCAGCCTCAAACGCGTAGCTGGTGTAGCGGTGTTCCGCAGGGCGGTGGTTGTACTGTACTGCGGGGTGACGTACCAGCTTGGCCTGGGCGTCCGCAATCTTGCGATTGTTTTCCTCGAGGATTCTCTCCAGCTCCTCACGCTTCTTGCGCTCCTCTTCCTACATCAACGCCATCGTCGTCACCGCCGTCAACGCCATTGTCATCGTCATCACCATCATCGCCATCATCACTATCGCCATCAACGCCATCACCACCATCACCACCATCATCATCACCATCGCCATCATCGCCATCACCACCATCATCACCATCGTCACCATCGCCATCATCATCGCCATCATCGCCATCGTCACCATCGTCATCATCACTATCGCCATCAACGCCATCACCACCATCACCACCATCACCACCATCACCACCATCATCATCACCATCGTCACCATCGTCACCATCGTCATCATCATCGTCATCATCGTCATCACCACCATCGTCACCATCGTCATTATCATCGTCATCATCATCATCGTCATCACCACCATCATCACCATCGTCACCATCATCATCATCACTATCGCAATCAACGCCATCATCACCATCATCGCCATCATCGTCACCATCATCGCCATCATCACCATCGCCATCATCATCGCCATCACCACCATTACAAACAGCAAACAACATGTCTCTGTGTGTCTATGCATCTCCCCGTGCGTCTCTCCATGTCTCACCTCTCTGTATCTCTGTGTGTCTGTGTCTCTCTGTGAGTCTGTGTCTACATAGTCTGTGTGTCTCTGTGTACAGAATCTGTGTGTCTCTGTGTGTGAGTCTGTGTGTCTATGTACAGAGTCTGTGTGTCTGTGTCAGAGTCTGTGTGTCTCTGTGTACAGAGTCTGTGTGTCTCTGTGTGTGAGTCTGTGTGTCTATGTACAGAGTCTGTGTGTCTGTGTCAGAGTCTGTGTGTCTCTGTGTACAGAGTCTGTGTGTCTCTGTGTGTGAGTCTGTGTGTCTATGTACAGAGTCTGTGTGTCTGTGTCAGAGTCTGTGTGTCTCTGTGTGTGAGTCTGTGTGTCTATGTACAGAGTCTGTGTGTCTGTGTCAGAGTCTGTGTGTCTCTGTGTACAGAGTCTGTGTGTCTCTGTGTGTGAGTCTGTGTGTCTATGTACAGAGTCTGTGTGTCTGTGTCAGAGTCTGTGTGTCTCTGTGTACAGAGTCTGTGTGTCTCTGTGTGTGAGTCTGTGTGTCTATGTACAGAGTCTGTGTGTCTGTGTCAGAGTCTGTGTGTCTCTGTGTGTGAGTCTGTGTGTCTATGTACAGAGTCTGTGTGTCTGTGTCAGAGTCTGTGTGTCTCTGTGTACAGAGTCTGTGTGTCTCTGTGTGTGAGTCTGTGTGTCTATGTACAGAGTCTGTGTGTCTGTGTCAGAGTCTGTGTGTCTCTGTGTACAGAGTCTGTGTGTCTCTGTGTGTGAGTCTGTGTGTCTATGTACAGAGTCTGTGTGTCTGTGTCAGAGTCTGTGTGTCTCTGTGTGTGAGTCTGTGTGTCTATGTACAGAGTCTGTGTGTCTGTGTCAGAGTCTGTGTGTCTCTGTGTGTGAGTCTGTGTGTCTATGTACAGAGTCTGTGTGTCTGTGTCAGAGTCTGTGTGTCTCTGTGTACAGAGTCTGTGTGTGAGTCTGTGTGTCTATGTACAGAGTCTGTGTGTCTGTGTCAGAGTCTGTGTGTCTCTGTGTACAGAGTCTGTGTGTCTCTGTGTGTGAGTCTGTGTGTCTATGTACAGAGTCTGTGTGTCTGTGTCAGAGTCTGTGTGTCTCTGTGTGTGAGTCTGTGTGTCTATGTACAGAGTCTGTGTGTCTGTGTCAGAGTCTGTGTGTCTCTGTGTACAGAGTCTGTGTGTCTCTGTGTGTGAGTCTGTGTGTCTATGTACAGAGTCTGTGTGTCTGTGTCAGAGTCTGTGTGTCTCTGTGTACAGAGTCTGTGTGTCTCTGTGTGTGAGTCTGTGTGTCTATGTACAGAGTCTGTGTGTCTGTGTCAGAGTCTGTGTGTCTCTGTGTATAGTTTGTGTGTCTCTGTGTACAGTCTGTGTGTCTATGTACAGAGTCTGTGTGTCTCTGTGTGAGTCTGTGTGTCTATGTACAGGGTCTGTGTGTATCTGTGTCAGAGTCTGTGTCTCTGTGTACAGAGTCTGTGTGTCTCTGGGTACAGAGTCTGTGTGTCTCTGTGTGTGAGTCTGTGTGTCTCTGTGTACAGAGTCTGTGGGTCTCTGTGTGAGTCTGTGTGTCTCTGTGTACAGAGTCTGTGTGTCTCTGTGTACAGAGTCTGTGTGTCTCTGTGTACAGAGTCTGTGTGTACAGAGTCTGTGTGTCTCTGTGTACAGAGTCTGTGTGTCTCTGTGTGTGAGTCTGTGTGTCTATGTACAGAGTCTGTGTGTCTGTGTCAGAGTCTGTGTGTCTCTGTGTATAGTTTGTGTGTCTCTGTGTACAGTCTGTGTGTCTATGTACAGAGTCTGTGTGTCTCTGTGTGAGTCTGTGTGTCTATGTACAGGGTCTGTGTGTATCTGTGTCAGAGTCTGTGTGTCTGTGTACAGAGTCTGTGTGTCTCTGTGTACAGAGTCTGTGTGTCTCTGTGTGTGAGTCTGTGTGTCTATGTACAGAGTCTGTGTGTCTGTGTCAGAGTCTGTGTGTCTCTGTGTATAGTTTGTGTGTCTCTGTGTACAGTCTGTGTGTCTATGTACAGAGTCTGTGTGTCTCTGTGTGAGTCTGTGTGTCTATGTACAGGGTCTGTGTGTATCTGTGTCAGAGTCTGTGTGTCTCTGTGTACAGAGTCTGTGTGTCTCTGTGTACAGAGTCTGTGTGTCTCTGTGTACAGAGTCTGTGTGTCTCTGGGTACAGAGTCTGTGTGTCTCTGTGTGTGAGTCTGTGGGTCTCTGTGTACAGAGTCTGTGGGTCTCTGTGTCCAGAGTCTGTGTGTCTCTGTGTACAGAGTCTATGGGTCTCTGTGTACAGAGTATGTGGGTCTCTGTGTAAAGAGTCTGTGTGTCTCTGTGTACATAGTCTGTGTGTCTCTGTGTACAGAGTCTGTGTGTCTCTGTGTACAGAGTCTGTGGGTCTCTGTGTCCAGAGTCTGTGTGTCTCTGTGTACAGAGTCTGTGTGTCTCTGTGTACAGAGTCTGTGTGTACAGAGTCTGTGTGTCTCTGTGTACAGAGTCTGTGTGTCTCTGTGTACATAGTCTACGGGTCACTGTGTGTGAGTCTGTGTGTCTCTGTGTGAGTCTATGGGTCTCTGTGCACAGAGTCTGTGGGTCTCTGTGCACAGAGTCTGTGGGCCTCTGTGTACAGAGTCTGTGTGTCTCTGTGTGAGTCTATGGGTATCTGTGTACAGAGTCTGTGTGTCTCTGTGTACAGAGTCTGTATGTCTCTGTGTACAGATGACGTCACCCTGCTGCTGCTCTATATAAGAACGGGAGACACAGCAGAGCCTCACCATTCTGGCGAATTGCCCGATGATGCTGGTTGCAATTACCAGCGAAACGTCGTACTCAAATTGTAAATGTTGTGGCTTCAACACACCGGTGGGCTAAAGCAGTGAACTATTTGTCTTTGTCAACGTGACACATTTTTAATGATTGGCCGTGTCGGGTGGTGGAGGGTTACGACACATTTATAAATAACGTGATCTAAACCCAAAAACGTTGATTATGAATAACATTGGTCGCGAAAGCCTACGTGTTAATCTGTGTACAGAGTCTGTGTGTCTCTGTGTACAGAGTCTGTATGTCTCTGTGTACAGAGTTTGTGTGTCTCTGTGTACAGAGTCTGTGTGTCTCTGTGTACAGAGTCCGTGTGTCTCTGTGTACAGAGTCTGTGTGTCTCTGTGTACAGAGTTTGTGTGTCTCTGTGTACAGAGTCTGTGTGTCTCTGTGTACAGAGTCCGTGTGTCTCTGTGTACAGAGTCCGTGTGTCTCTGTGTACAGAGTCTGTGTGTCTCTGTGTACAGAGTCTGTGTGTCTCTGTGTACAGAGTTTGTGGGTCTCTGTGTACAGAGTCTGTGGGTCTCTGTGTACAGAGTCTGTGGGTCTCTGTGTACAGAGTCTGTGGGTCTCTGTGTACAGAGTCTGTGGGTCTCTGTGCACAGAGTCTGTGGGTCTCTGTGTACAGAGTCTGTAGGTCTCTGTGTACAGAGTCCGTGTGTCTCTGTGTACAGAGTCTGTGGGTCTCTGTGTACAGAGTCTGTGGGTCTCTGTGCACAGAGTCTGTGGGTCTCTGTGTACAGTCTACGGGTCTCTGTGCACAGAGTCTGTAGGTCTCTGTGTACAGAGTATGTGTGTCTCTGTGTGTGAGTCTGTGTGTCTCTGTGTACAGAGTCTGTGTGTCTCTGTGTACAGAGTCTGTGGGTCTCTGTGTACAGAGTCTGTGGGTCTCTGTGTGAGTCTGTGGGTCTCTGTGTACAGAGTCTGTGGGTCTCTGTGTACAGAATCTGTGGGCCTCTGTGCACAGAGTCTGTGGGCCTCTGTGCACAGAGTCTGTGGGTCTCTGTGTACAGAGTCTGTGGGTCTCTGTGTACAGAGTCTGTGGGTCTCTGTGTACAGAGTTTGTGGGTCTCTGTGTACAGAGTCTGTGTGTCTCTGTGTACAGAGTCTGTGTGTCTCTGTGTGAGTCTATGGGTATCTGTGTACAGAGTCTGTGTGTCTCTGTGTACAGAGTCTGTGTGTGTCTGTGTACAGAGTCTGTATGTCTCTGTGTACAGAGTCTGTATGTCTCTGTGTACAGAGTCTGTGTGTCTCTGTGTACAGAGTCTGTATGTCTCTGTGTACAGAGTCTGTGTGTCTCTGTGTACAGAGTCTGTGGGTCTCTGTGTACAGAGTCTGTGTGTCTCTGTGTACAGAGTCTGTGTGTCTCTGTGTACAGAGTTTGTGGGTCTCTGTGTACAGAGTCTGTGTGTCTCTGTGTACAGAGTCTGTGGGTCTCTGTGTACAGAGTCTGTAGGTCTCTGTGCACAGAGTCCGTGTGTCTCTGTGTACAGAGTCTGTGTGTCTCTGTGTACAGAGTCTGTGGGTCTCTGTGTACAGAGTCTGTGGGCCTCTGTGCACAGAGTCTGTGGGTCTCTGTGTACAGAGTCTGTGGGTCTCTGTGTACAGAGTCTGTGGGTCTCTGTGTACAGAGTCTGTGGGTCTCTGTGTACAGAGTCTGTGGGTCTCTGTGTACAGAGTCTGTGGGTCTCTGTGCACAGAGTCTGTGGGTCTCTGTGTACAGAGTCTGTGGGTCTGTGTAGAGAGTCTGTGTGTCTCTGTGTGTCTCTGCATGTATCTGGGTCTCTGTGCGTCTCTGCGTCTCTCACCTCTCTGGCTCTCTGTGTGTCTGTGTTTCTGTGTGTGTCTGTGTCTCTGTGTGTGTCTGTGTGTGTCTGTGTGTGTCTGTGTCTCTGTGTGTCTCTGTGTGTCTCTGTGTGTCTCTGCGTGTCTGTGTGTGTCTGTGTGTGTCTGTGTGTGTCTGTGTCTCTGTGTGTCTCTGTGTGTCTCTGTGTGTCTCTGTGTGTCTCCGCATGTCTCTGCATGTCTCTGTGTGTCTGCGTCTCTCACCTCTCTGGCTCTGTGTGTGTCTCTGTGTGTGTCTGCGTGTCTCTCTCTGCGTCTCTCCGCGTCTCTCACCTCTCTGGCTCTCTGTGTGTCTGTCTCTCTGTGTGTCTCTGTGTGTCTCTGCGTGTCTCTCTGCGTTTCTCACCTCTCTGGCTCTCTGTGTGTCTCTGCATGTCTCTGCGTGTCTCTCCGCATGTCTCTGTGTGGCTGTCTCTGTGTGTCTGCGTCTCTCCGCGTCTCTGCATGTCTCTGTGTCTCTGTCTGTGTGTCTGCACCTCTCACCTCTCTGGCTCTCTGTGTGTCTGTCTCTCTGTGTGTCTCTCCGCGTCTCTCTGTGTGTCTCTGCGTGTCTCTCTGTGTGTCTGTGTGTCTCTCTGCTTCTCTCACCTCTCTGGCTCTCTGTCTGTGTCTCCGTGCGTCTCTCCGCGCCTCTCACCTCTCTGGCTCTCTGTGGCTCTCTCGTGTCTCTGCGTGTCTCTCTGCGTATCTCTCTGCGTGTCTCTCTGCGTGTCTCTCTGCGTGTCTCTCTGTCTGCGTCTCTCACATCTCTGGCTCTCTGTGTGTCTGTCTCTCTGTGTCTCAGTGTGTCTCCGTGTGTCTCTGCGTCTCTCTGCATGTCTCTGTCTGTGTGTATGTGTCTCTCACCTCTCTGGCTCTCTGTGTGTCTGTGTCTCTGTCTGTGTGTCTGCGTCTCTCACCTCTCTGGCTCTCTGTGTGTCTCTGTGTCTCTCTGTGTGACTCTGCGTGTCTCTGTGTCTCCATGTCTCTCTGTGTGTCTGCGCCTCTCACCTCTCTGGCTCTCTGCGCCGCCACCTCTTGCTGCCGCTGCCTCTCCAACTCGTCCAGCATCTGTGTACCAAGTCTGTGTGTACCAAGTCTGTGTCTCTGTGTCTCTGTGTGTCTCTGTGTGCGTCTGTGTCTCTATGTGTGTCTCTGGCTCTCTGTGTGTCTCCGAGTGTCTCTGCGTCTCTCTACGTCTCTCCGTGCCGCTCACCTCTCTGGCTCTCTGTGTGTCTGTCTCTCTGTGTCTCCGTGTCTCTGTGTGTCTCTCTGCGTCTCTCTGCATCTCCGTGCGTCTCTCCGCGCCTCTCACCTCTCTGGTTCTCTGTGTGTCTGTGTGTCTCTCTGTCTGTGTCTCTCCGCGCCTCTCACCTCTCTGGCTCTCTGTGTGTCTGTGTCTCTCTGTCTGTGTGTCTGCATCTCTCACCTCTCTGTGTGTCTCTGTGTGTGTCTCTGCATGTCTCTGTGTCTCTCTGTGTGTCTCTGCGTGTCTCTGTGTGTCTCTGCGTGTCTCTGTGTGTCTCTCCATGTCTCTCTGTGTCTCTCTGTGTCTCTGTCTGTGTCTGCGTCTCTCACCTCTCTGGCTCTCTGCGCCGCCACCTCTTGCTGCCGCTGCCTCTCCAGCTCGTCCAGCATCTGTGTACCAAGTCTGTGTCTCTGTGTGTGTCTGTGTGTGTCTGTGTGTGTCTGTGTGTGTCTGTGTCTCTGTGTGTGTCTGTGTGTCTCTGCATGTCTCTCTGCGTCTCTCACCTCTCTGGCTCTCTGCGCCGCCACCTCTTGCTGCCGCTGCCTCTCCAGCTCGTCCAGCATCTGGCGCTCCATGACGCGCTTGGCGTCGTGCACCCGGCGCAGCACCTCCTGCTCAATCTCCTCCCGCCGCCGCTCCAACTCCTCCTCCACGCGACGTGCCACCAGCTCCTCGACGCGACGCGCCGTCTCCTCCGCCACCAGACGCTCCTCCATCTCCTGCTGGCGGCTGGCGAGGGCGGCGAGGGGGAGGGGTGGGACGGAGGTTTAGCGAGCGGGGCGACGATCCCGACGACGACGCCGGCTGCTGCTGCTGCTGCTGCTGCGTTCGTGGAGTCTGCGGTGTCTCTCAACGTCATCGTCGTCGTCACGGTGGCTAGGAGATGTTGACTGCCTCGCCTGGTCTACAGGAGGTCTGTGTCTCTCTCATCATCATCACGGTGGCTAGGAGATGTTGACTACCTCGACTGGAGTGCAGGAGGTCGTGGGTTCGATCCCGACCCTGACGACGCCTGCTGCTGCTGCTGCGTGGAGTCTGCGCGTCTTGCTCTCTGTCATCATCATCGTCGTCACGGTGGCTAGGAGATGTTGACTACCTCGCCTGGTCTACAGGAGGTCTGTGTCTCTCTCATCATCATCATCATCATGGTGGCTAGGAGATGTTGACTACCTCGCCTGGTCTACAGGAGGTCTGTGTCTCTCTCATCATCATCATCATCATGGTGGCTAGGAGATGTTGACTACCTCGCCTGGTCTACAGGAGGTCTGTGTCTCTCTCATCATCATCACGGTGACTAGGAGATGTTGACTACCTCGCCTGGTACGCAGGAGGTCGTGGGTTCAATCCCGACCCTGACGACGCCTGCTGCTGTATATTTGAAGTTTGCGTGTCTCTCTCTCTCATCATCATCATCATCACGGTGGCTAGGAGATGTTGGCTACCTCGCCTGGTATGCAGGAGGTTGTGGGTTCGATCCTGACCCTGACGATGCCTGCTGCTGTATATATGGAGGCTGCGTCTCTCTCTCCCCGTGGTCGCGAGGATTTTTCTCCAGAGTCCTCAGGTTTTCTCCCCTACGCCTTGAGAATCGACGTGACGCCCTCGGAGTATTTGACCAACTGATAGAAACTTCCACGCGATGATGACGACGATAGCCACCGTGATTATGATGATGAGAGAGAGAGACACGCAGACTCCAAATATACAGCAGCAGGCGTCGTCAGGGTCGGGATTGAATTCACGACCTCCTGCGTACCAGGCGAGGTAGTTAACATCTCCTAGCCACCGTGATTATGATGATGAGAGAGAGAGACACGCAGACTCCAAATATACAGCAGCAGCAGGCGTCGTCAGGGTCGGGATTGAATTCACGACCTCCTGCGTACCAGGCGAGGTAGTCAACATCTCCTAGCCACCGCGGCGGTCCCCCCTATAAGCGAGTAGCCTGCAGCGTCTCACCTGTTAGCATCCTGAAGATAAACAACGGTGACCTCACGTTACAGGTTTGCTCAGCATTTCTGAGGTCTTGGGGGGAAGGGGGGGGGCAAAATCCCCTCGGCTCCACAGACACGCACTAGCAGACACACACTAGCAGACACAAACAGACACGCACGCAAAGATGCAAACACGCACACAAACGCACAGACGCAGACACGCAGAGACATTCAGAGACACGCACAAGCACGCACACAGAAACAGACATGGAGACAAGCACACAGACATGCAAGCAGACATGCACGCAGACACGCAGATACGCACGCAGACACGCACACAGACAGGGACACAGACACGCACATAGATACGCAGACACGCACGCAGATACACAGACACGCATGCAGAGACACAGACACACACAGACACGCACGCAGAGACACAGACACACACAGACAAGTACGCAGACAGAGACACAGACACGCACACATACACACAGACACGCACATAGATACGCAGACACGCACGCAGATACGCAAACACGCACGCAGACACGCACACAGACACTCACCCAGACACGCACAGACACGCACGCAGACAGAAACACAGACACTCACACAGACACTCACACAGACACGCACACAGACACACAGACAGACACTCACACATAAGACACACACACACGCGCCGGCTGAAGCAGCCATCTGTTCGGGGAAGTTGTGGAAGGGCGATGCGGGGATCTCCGAGGGCAGGAGAGAGGCGATGATCTCGCAAGCGAACAGCCGAGGGAGGGGTGGCATCTGTGTGCAGAGCGGGAGGGCTGAACGATTGATCGATTTCAAAATCGATTAATCGCAATTTGAAACAGTGCGATTTGCAAATAGCAAAAGGCTGCGATTCTTTGCGATTTGAAAAGTCCTATTGCTTTCTTATTGGAATTGTTAATTTTCTTTTATTATTATTTTATTATTATTTTTTATTATTAGGACGGCTGCTTGTGTTGTGGCCGAAACGTCGTGAGAATTTATTTTATTTTATTGTTTTATTTTTATTCTTTTATTTTAATATTTTTATTTTATTATGTTTTATTTGTATTATTTTATTATGTTAATATTGTTATTTTATTATGTTTTATTTTTATTATTTTATTATTTCCCTTCTACGTGACTTTACCGAAAGAACCAAGAAAATGAATCCCTGCAGTCACGAAAGCTTTAAGTCGAAATTTAAATCGAAATTTATCACAACTCTATTTAGCTTCACAATTGTTCTATGTTTGATTGTTCGAGTTCAATTAAAACATTTTAATGAATACGTTGGAAGCAATTCATTTATTTTAAGTTCTCATCAGAGGTCGCAACCTGGTACCCGATACCCGTACCCTACCCGATACCCAGCTACCCGTACCCAGCCGGGTACGGGTACCCGTTTGCGACCCTGGTGCGGCCGGGTACGGGTACGGGTAGGCCGTGAGTCACTGGTGAGTCACCGTTTGTCACTCATTTCCCAACGTCTTGTCTCTTCCCACAATTCAAGTTCCTAGAATCAACCCACCCGCGCCTGCAACATGGCTTCATCCCAGAGGTCGCAATCGGGTACCCGTACCCTACCCGTACCCGGCCGGGTACGGGTAGGGTACGAGTACGGCCGGGTACGGGTAGGGTACCCGTTTGCGACCCTGGTGCGGCTGGGTACGGGTAAGGAATCAAAACCCGTTTGCGACCTCTGGTTCTCATCCTTGCATTAGAATAGAGAGAAGCAGTTCATATTGTGATGGTATCATGTGGAAATGCTCCATCACATGTTTAAAATCTATAACACCGTGAATATTGAACTGAAGCTTCACTTCGCAATCGCAATGTCAGAAAAAATCAGCCCCACAGGGAGGTCCTTAATCCTGACACCGTGACAACTGTTTGGGCTCCAGGACAGATTCAGTGGGATTGGAAGGATGCCCTGGTGTTCCCACGTTTTTAACAAACTACAAATATACAGCAGCAGCAGGCGTCGTCAGGGTCGGGATCGAACCCACGGCCTCCTGTACACCAGCCGAGGTAGTTGACATCTCCTAGCCACCGTGATGATGATGAGAGAGACACGCAGACTCCAAATCTACAGCAGCAGGCGTCACGGGGTTGGGATCGAACCCACGACCTCCTGTTCACCAGGCGAGTTAGTCAACATCAAAGTATACAGCACACAACATGCACTACAACATAGACACAATATTCACCACAGACACTACAACACAGACACACAACCACACCATAGACACAACAGATAATACAACAGACACACATCCACACCATAGACACAACACAGGCACACACTACGACTTACACACAACACACACACACACTTCGACTTACACACAACACAGACACACACTACGACTTACACACAACACACACACACGACTTACACAACACAGACACACGACTTACACACAACACAGACACACTGCGACTTACACACAACACAGACACACTACTTACACACAACACAGACACACTGCGACTTACACACAACACAGACACACACACTACTTACACAGAACAAAGACACACTGCGACTTACACACAACACAGACACACTACTTACACACAACACAGACACACTGCGACTTACACACAACACAGACACACTACTTACACACAACAAAGACACAACACTGCGACTTACACACAACACAGACACACACACTACTTACACACAACACAGACACACTACGACTTACACACAACACAGATACAACACACTACTACTTACACACAACACACTGCGACTTACACACAACACAGACACACACTACTTACACACAACACAGACACAACACACACACTAGTTACACACAACACAGACACACTGCGACTTACACACAACACAGACACACACTACATACACACAACACAGACACACACACTACGACTTACACACAACAGAAACACTACTTACACACAACACACACACACACTACTTAGACACACACTCCTTACACACAACACAGACACACACTACGACTTACACACAACACAGACACACACTACTTACACACAACACATACACACACTACGACTTACACACAACACAGACACACACTACTTACACACAACACAGACACACACTACTTACACACAACACAGACACACACTACAACTTACACACTACTTAGACACACACTCCTTACACACAACACAGACACACCACTACGACTTACACACAACACAGACACACACACTACTTACACACAACACAGACACTACGACTTACACACAACACAGACACACACACTACAACTTACACACAACACAGACACACACTACTTAGACACACACTACTTACACACAACACACACACACACTACGACATACACACAACACAGACACACACACTACTTAAACACAACACAGACACACTGCGACTTACACACAACACAGACACACACTACATACACACAACACAGACACACACTACTTACACACAACACAGACACACACTACTTACACACAACACAGACACACACACTACGACTTACACACAACACAGACACACCCTACTTAGACACAAGACAGACACACACTGGGACTTGCACACAACACAGACACACACACACTACTTACACACAACACAGACACAACACACACACTAGTTACACACAACACAGACACACTGCGACTTACACACAACACAGACACACACTACATACACACAACACAGACACACACACTACGACTTACACACAACAGAAACACTACTTACACACAACACATACACACACTACGACTTACACACAACAGACACACACTACTTACACACAACACAGACACACACTACTTACACACAACACAGACACACACTACAACTTACACACTACTTAGACACACACTCCTTACACACAACACAGACACACCACTACGACTTACACACAACACAGACACACACACTACTTACACACAACACAGACACTACGACTTACACACAACACAGACACACACACTACAACTTACACACAACACAGACACACACTACTTAGACACACACTACTTACACACAACACACACACACACTACGACATACACACAACACAGACACACACACTACTTAAACACAACACAGACACACTGCGACTTACACACAACACAGACACACACTACATACACACAACACAGACACACACTACTTACACACAACACAGACACACACTACTTACACACAACACAGACACACACACTACGACTTACACACAACACAGACACACCCTACTTAGACACAAGACAGACACACACTGGGACTTGCACACAACACAGACACACACACACTACGACTTACACACAACACAGACACACACTACTTAGACACACACTACTTACACAAAACAGACACACTACTTACACACAACACAGACACACTACGACTTACACACAACACAGATACAACACAGACACACACCGCGACTTACACACAACAACAGACAACACTACGACTTACACACAACACAGACACACACTACTTAGACACACACAACACAGACACACACTACTTAGACACACACAACACAGACACACACTACTTACACACAACACAGACACTACGACTTACACAGACAACACTACGACTTACACACAACAACAGATACAACACAGACACACTACGACTTATACACAACAACAGACACACACTACATACACACAACACAGACACACTGCGACATATACACACAACAGACACACACACTACTTACACACAACACAGACACACTACTTACACACAACACAGACACACACACTACTTACACACACTACTTACACACAACACAGACACACTACGACTTACACACAACACAGACACACTACGACTTACACACAACACAGACACACACACTACTTACACACAACACACACACACACTACGACTTACACACAACACAGACACACACTACTTAGACACAAGACAGACACACACTACTTAGACACAAGACAGACACACACTGGGACTTGCACACAACACAGACACACCACGACTTACACACAACAACAGACACACACTGCGACTTACACACAACACAGACACACACACTGGGACTTGCACACAACACAGACACACACACACTACTTACACACAACACAGACACACTCCTTACACACAACACACACACTACTTAGACACACACTACTTACACACAACACAGATACACACACACACTACTTACACACAACACAGACACACACTACGACTTACACACAACAGACACACACACCGTAACTTACACACAACAGACACACACACACTACAACTTGCACACAACACAGACACACAATACACAGCACGCACAACACAGACACACACACTACAACTTACACACAACAACAGACACAATACACAACACGCACAACACAGACACACTACAACTTACACACAACACAGACACAATACACAACTTACACAACACACACACTACAACTTACACACAACACAGACACAATACACAACTTACACACAACACAGACACACTACGACTTACACACAACACAGACACACACTGCAACTTACACACAACACACACACACTACTTACACACAACACACTACTTACACACACACACAACACACACACACACTACTTAGACACACACTACTTACACACAACACAGACACTACAACGTACACACAACACAGACACTACAACTTACACACACACACACAACACAGACACACACTACAACTTGCACACAACACACACACTACTTACACACAACACACTACTTACATACACACACACTACTTAGACACAAACTACTTACACACAACACAGACACACTACGACATACACACAACAACAGACACAACACAGACACACACAACTTACACACAACACACACTACAACTTACACACAACACAGACACACACACTACGACATACACACAACACAGACACAACACAGACACACACACTACGACATACACACAACACAGACACACACACTACGACTTACACACAACACAGACACACACACTACGACTTACACACAACACAGACACACACACTACGACTTACACACAACACAGACACAACACAGACACACACACTACGACATACACACAACAACAGACACAACACAGACACACACAACTTACACACAACACACACTACAACTTACACACAACACAGACACACACACTACAACTTACACACAACACAGACACACACAACTTACACACAACACACACTACAACTTACACACAACACAGACACACTACAACTTACACACAACACAGACACACTACAACTTACACACAACACAGACACACACACTACGACTTACACACAACACAGACACACACAACTTACACACAACACACACTACAACTTACACACAACACAGACACACTACAACTTACACACAACACAGACACACTACAACTTACACACAACACAGACACACTACAACTTACACACAACACAGACACACACACTACTTACACACAACACAGACACACACACACACTACTTACACACACACACTACAACTTACACAACAGACACACTACAACTTACACACAACACAGACACAACACGCACAACACAGACACAATACACAACACGCACAACACAGACACACTACAACTTACACACAACACAGACACACACTACTTACACACACACACACAACAACATACACACACTACAACATACACACAACAACATACACACACTACTTACACACAACACAGACACACAGACACACAACAACACACACACACTACTTACACACACACACAACAACATACACACACTACAACATACACACAACAACATACACACACTACTTACACACAACACAGACACACAGACACACAACAACACACACACACTACTTACACACACACACAACAACATACACACACTACAACTTACACACAACAACAGACACAATACACAACACGCACACAGATACACTACAACATACACACAACAACAGACACACAACACACTACAACTTACACACAACAACAGACACAACACGCACAACAACGCTGTTCACGGCCGCACTAGGCCGCGGCCTACCTCACGGGCCGCCCGCCCCTCGCCTGAATCCGCCGCGGGAAAACCGCGCGCGCGGCCCCGCCGGACGCGCTCAGGCAAGCCGAGGCGGTCACGGTGTAGGGGGGGGGGGGTAGTAATAAAAAAAAACAACAATAACCACAAACAAACTCACATCCTCCGCTGTTTCTCGAGTTCAGCTTGCCTCTCCTCCTCCTCTCGCTTGGCGCGGTCGTCTTGAAAGCTTCGTTTCGTTACATTGCGTCCGAATTGGTCAACTCTCTCAGCGCTCCGTCTCTCTGTTGGGGCCTTGCCACCTCCACCACCGCCTCCACCACCGCCTCCACCACCACCTCCACCACCATCTCTGTCTCTCTCCTTGTCCCTGTCTCTCTCCCTGTCCCTCTCTCGATCTCTATCCCTGCTGCGACTTTTTGTTTTAGTTCGTCTGCTACTGCTACTACCACCACCACCACCACTTCTTCCATCACCACCACCACTAGTTCGTACACCGCTACTGCTGCTACCACCACCACCTCCTCCTCCACCTTCTGCTCCACCTCGTTTGCTACCACTACTACCACCACCTCCACCACCACCTCCTCCTCCACCTCCTCGGTCTTTCGAGCGAGATCTACGTCGTGATGAACGCTTCCCTCGGCCGTGGCGGCTGCGAGTGCGTGAGGAGCTGCGGCTTCGTGAGCGGCCCATCCCGCGGCTGTGACAGCCTCCAACACCAACACCACCACCACTACAGCCTCACTACAGCTACTACTACAGCCTCACACTCACCACCACCACTACTACAGCCTCACTCACTCACTACCACCACTACTACAGCCTCACTCACCCACCCACCACCACCACTACTACAACCTCCACTACCACCACTACTACTACAGCCTCACTCACCACTACAGCCTCACTCACCCACCACCACTACTACTACTACAGCCTCACTCACACACTCACCACCACTACTACAGCCTCACTCACTCACTCACCCACCACTACTACTACTACAGCCTCACTCACCACTACTACTACAGCCTCACTCACTCACCCACTCACCACTACTACAGCCTCACTCACTCACCCACCCACCACTACTACTACTACAGCCTCACTCACCACTACTACTACAGCCTCACTCACTCACCCACTCACCACTACTACAGCCTCACTCACTCACCCACCACTACTACAGCTACAGCCTCACTCAGCCACTCACCACTACTACAGCTACAGCCTCACTCAGCCACTCACCACTACTACAGCTACAGCCTCACTCAGCCACTCACCCACCACCACTACTACAGCCTCACTCACTCACCACCACTACAGCCTCACACTCACTACTCACCACCACTACAGCCTCCACCACTACAACCTCACTCACTCACCACTACTCACTCACTCACCACTACAACCTCCACCACCACTACAGCCTCACTCACCACTACAACTTCCCTCACCAAAAGAACTTCCCTCACCACTACAACCTCACTCACTCACCACCTCAAACTCACCACTACCAGTTAACTCACTCACCACTACAGCCTCACTCTCACTCACCACTACAGACTCACTCACTCACCACCTCAAACTCACTCACCACTACAGACTCACTCACTCACCACCTCAAACTCACTCACCACTACCACTTAACTCACCACTACAGACTCACTCACTCACCACCTCAAACTCACTCACCACTACAGACTCACTCACCACCTCAAACTCACTCACCACTACCACTTAACTCACCACTACAAACTCACCACTCACCACCTCAAACTCACTCACCACTACAGACTCACTCACCACCTCAAACTCACTCACCACTACCACTTAACTCACCACTACAAACTCACCACTCACCACCTCAAACTCACTCACCACTACAGACTCACTCACCACCTCAAACTCACTCACCACTACCACTTAACTCACCACTACAAACTCACTCACTCACCACCTCAAACTCACTCACCACTACAGACTCACTCACTCACCACCTCAAACTCACTCACCACTACCACTTAACTCACCACTACAGACTCACTCACTCACCACCTCAAACTCACTCACCACTACAGACTCACTCACCACCTCAAACTCACTCACCACTACCACTTAACTCACCACTACAAACTCACCACTCACCACCTCAAACTCACTCACCACTACAGACTCACTCACCACCTCAAACTCACTCACCACTACCACTTAACTCACCACTACAAACTCACCACTCACCACCTCAAACTCACTCACCACTACAGACTCACTCACCACCTCAAACTCACTCACCACTACCACTTAACTCACCACTACAAACTCACCACTCACCACCTCAAACTCACTCACCACTACAGACTCACTCACCACCTCAAACTCACTCACCACTACCACTTAACTCACCACTACAAACTCACCACTCACCACCTCAAACTCACTCACCACTACAGACTCACTCACCACCTCAAACTCACTCACCACTACCACTTAACTCACCACTACAAACTCACCACTCACCACCTCAAACTCACTCACCACTACCACTTAACTCACTCACTCACTACAGACTCACCCACCACCACCACAAACTCACTCGCTTCACTCACCCCCAATGATTCCTCCACCTCACCTCACCACCTCACCTCCACCTCACCTCCACCTCACCACCCACCGCTCCCTGTCAAGCTGCAGGGCAACGTGCGGTGCAAAAGAAGTTTCGCAGCGCGCAGCCCTCACAGACCACACACACAAACCTCTCTCCCTCCCGTCTTCTACTGATCCATCAACCCCCCCCCCACCCACCACCACCTTGACTTGCTACAATTGCGAGGCTCCCGCCAAAGTGATGATCACAACAAAAACGAGATAGAATCGAGTGGCCTAATGATGCCTCTGTTCCTTCACGAACAGCAAAATGATCTTTAACAGCCACTCATCTCTCTGTGTCTCTCTGTAAGCCACAGAGGCTCTGCCCGTCCGTCTTTGTATCCCCAACGTGTTAGCAGCTAGCAACAACAACCACAACAACCACCACCACCACCAAACCCACGTGGTTCTGAAGCTACCTCTACCCCCCCTATCGTAACGTATACAAATCGGCTATCTTTAAATGATGGTCTTCGTTTATTTGTTTGTTATTTGTTAAAGTAAAATTGGTGTGTGGGTGGGTGGACGAGGGTCACCGCGAATAAGACGATGATGTTAAACGCAAAATTTTTTTTTTTAAAGCCCAAGTCTCGATAATTAAAATAGTGCGGTGAGCGCTGAGATGCTAAGGCAGTCGTCGCGTTATAATGGCTGCTGATCCCTCATCTCTCGCCTCTATTCCTCCTCCTCTCTCCACAACCACCACCACAACAACCACAACCACCACAACCAACAACAACCACCACCACCTCACGTTGCAACCACCACCACCAACACCCGGACGCGAACCGAGACGCGGAGACGTCGCGGAGTAGTGGGGTGGGTGGCGGGGGAGTTTGAGGCGGTGATGCGGCGGTGACGATGGGGGGAGGGGAAACACAGAAACCCCTCCGCGTTAAGATGGAGGGCGGTGATTTGCCCCTCACCCCCCCCCCAGCACTACCACCACTACCAACCCGCTCCCACCCTCCTGGTACTGCACTACACTGCACTACACTGCACAGTGACACTGCACTACACAGGGTGGCACTGCACTGCACTACACTGCACTACACAGTGACACTGCACTACACAGAGCTGCACTACACAGAGCTGCACTACACAGGGTGGTACTGCACTACACTGCACTACACTGCACTACACAGGGTGGTACTGCACTACACAGGGTGACACTGCACTACACTGCACTACACAGGGTGCTACTGCACTACACAGGGTGACACTGCACTACACTGCACTACACTGCACTACACAGGGTGGCACTGCACTACACAGGGTGACACTGCACTACACTGCACTACACAGGGTGGCACTGCACTACACAGGGTGACACTGCACTACACTGCACTACACAGGGTGGTACTGCACTACACTGCACTACACAGAGTGACACTGCACTACACTGCACTACACTGCACTACACAGTGACACTGCACTACACAGAGCTACACTACACTGCACTACACAGGGTGGCACTGCACTACACTACACTGCACTACACAGTGACACTGCACTACACAGAGCTACACTACACAGAGCTGCACTACACTGCACTACAATGCACTACACAGGGTGGCACTGTACTACTATCATTGCCCATAGACTAACACTGCCCATAGACTAACATTGCCCATAGACTAACATTGCCCATAGACTAACATTGCCCATAGGCTAACACTGCCCATAGACTAACATTACCCATAGACTAACATTGCCCATAGACTAACATTACCCATAGACTAACATTGCCCATAGGCTAACACTGCCCATAGACTAACATTACCCATAGACTAACACTACCCATAGACTAACATTACCCATAGACTAACATTACCCATTGACAACATTACCCACAGACTAACATTGCCCATAGACTAACATTGCCCATAGACTAGCATTGCCCATAGACTAACATTACCCATAGACTAACATTACCCATAGACTAACACTGCCCATAGACTAACACTGCCCATAGACTAACATTGCCCATAGACTAACATTGCCCATAGACTAACACTGCCCATATACGAACATTGCCCATAGACTAACATTGCCCATATACTAACATTGCCCATAGACTAACATTACCCATAGACTAACATTGCCCATAGACTAACATAGACTAACATTGCCCATAGACTAACACTTGCCCATAGACTAACACTGGCCCATAGACTAACACTAGCCCATAGACTAACATTGCCCATAGACTAACATTGCCCATAGACTAACATTACCCATAGACTAACACTGCCCATAGACTAACATTGCCATAGACTAACATTGCCCTAGACACTGCCCATAGATAACACTGCCCATAGACTAACATTGCCCATAGACTAACATTGCCCATAGACTAACATTGCCCATAGACTAACATTGCCCCTAGACTAACACTGCCCATAGACTAACATTGCCCATAGACTAACATTGCCCCTAGACTAACACTGCCCATAGACTAACACTGCCCACAAACTAACACTGCCCATAGACTAACATTGCCCATAGACTAACATTGCCCACAGACTAACATTGCCCACAGACTAACATTGCCCACAGACTAACATTGCCCATAGACTAACACTGCACCATAGACTACATTGCCCACAGACTAACATTGCCCATAGACTAACATTGCCCATAGACTAACACTGCCCATAGACTAACATTGCCCATAGACTAACACTGCACCATAGACTAACATTGCCCACAGACTAACATTGCCCATAG